GCAAGTGCGCGTCTGATGATCCCTCGTTTCAGACCGTCTGGCAAATCAGCCCAGACATTGGCGTCCAGGCGAACAACTCGCTGACCTTGACCATCCCTCCTTACACTCTCGAGTATGATCAAACGTACGTCGTGAGTCTCGTCATAACTACCAACTCCAAGAGAGTCCTTGCCGACATCCTCCTCCAAGTCTCTATCCGAGAGGACCCTGTCGCTGTCCTGCAAGGTGGAGATCGTCTCATCGGAGTCCGCAGCGGCGTTACTTACCTGCTTGATGCCTCCGGCTCGTACAGCCGATTCCAGTCCCCAGGAGACTTGACCGTTCTCTGGCACTGCGCGAGGAACATGAAGATCTTAGGAGCCGTTATTGGGTTTCAGTCCGTGGAATGCGAGCATTTTGCCACCCAGTCAGACGACATGAAGTACCTGACTGTCAACTCAACCCAGTTGTTGGTGGACATGAGAGCCTTCTCGGACCCTCCGGTCCCAACCTTCACTGATGGATGTGTACCCAACCAGCCGTTGAGTGCGTCGAGGTGTGATCCGACTGCGATGTACAGCTTCAAGATCGTTGTCTGCGACAAGAACATATCTTGCTCGGTTGACATGCAAGGAGTTGCAACCAAGGATGCTACAATCTTCACAACGATGGCCTCTGTCCCCAACGTCAAGATCCAGCCTTTCAACCAGTCGAAGTCCAACAACGACGGAGACACAGTCATTCTCGGCTCTGTTGACCGAGCTACTGACTTCCTGTGGGTACAAGCCGCTTCCATCAACCACTTCCTTCTGAAGCCGGAGAACCTCGTCTCTACCTTGATGACTGCGATGCTGATACTGAAGAACTCCGCCTTCTCCCCTTCGACAAGGTAAGAACCCTCCTCGTCATGGCCCGCATGAGCTGAAGTTCCTTCAGGTACACCTTACGACTGTATGCCAGTATGAGCCAGATCGGGCTCGACAGCATGGGAGCCCTTCAATGTACAGCATGCGGTTGGTCGCAGGTATCGATGTGCCGCAGCTGCTGTTTGCGCTCGCTGATCGTGTTGATCCAGACCTCTCTCCTCCTCCGCCCTGTCCCGAGACCTGGTGAGTTTGTCGTCAGTCCGACCTCAGGGATGGCGTTTAGCACCAGGTTCGACGTCACGTGCCGAGGCTGGGTGGCAGACAGCAACGATATCGAAGATTATCCCCTCCTCTTCAGCTACGGGTTCGAAAAGAACGGCGACATCCAGTACTTGACAACCTCGTCGCAAGCGATCAGCGTCAACACCATCTTTCCGATGGGTCCGACCAACTTCTCTTGCCCATCCAATGCTGAGAGCACCTGCTCTGACCTGACCGTTCTGGTCTCAGTGAGGTACTTCGTGGGGACTCAAAGCTCGTTGAGAAGGAAGACACTTCGGCTGATGGCGCCTGAAGGGCAGGCGCTGGTCAACATAGTCACGAACCTCCTAGAGAAGCTCAAGATCAACTCGGGAGGGGATCGATGCGACAAGGTCTTCTCTATCGCCCTGCTGATTGCTGAGATGTTGAATCTCAACTCCGCCAAGTGGCCGTCGACTTTGGACGCCCTCACGTACCGAAGTGATGTCAGGCTGTCAGTTGCTTCCTACATTTCTTCATGCATCTACTCCCCACTCAATCCTGCTTCAGCCCTCAAGTCGGGTGGCGTCCTGCGAAATGTGCTGGAGGTCGTTCCTGAGATATCTGCCAGCACTGTTGAGATCTGCCTGAGCCTGATTCAATCGGTCATCGCGCAGCTGTTGGCGTTAGATGCGAGTGGCGCTGTATTGGAATCACCTGAGTTGATGAAGAGTTACATGCTGAACTCTATCTCCAAGGTCTTCGCTGCTCAGAGTCAGCTCGCCACACTGGCCAGCAGGCCTCCTACCTCATCGGCTCTGGCGTTGCAGAGATTTGCTGACTCCGGCAGCCAGCGGTCGAGCACGATCGAGCTTCGCTCTTCGACTTCTAGCTCATTGCAGAGCAGCAAGATGGTCACCCGTCAGGCTGTCTCGCAATCTCAGGAGCTGCAGCTGTTCAGCACTTTAGAGCAACTCGCAGCGTTGCAAGCCATTGGGATGGTAGTCGGTCAAGCGCCCAAGACATCGAGCACCAATGAGTTCTGGATTCAAGATAGCATCGTCAATCGCCAGGGGCTGTCGGGGCTTTCCTTGGCTGTGGGAGATGAGCAGAACTACATGTTGAAACTCCCCGTCAACAGCGCTGGGCTGCAAGGAGACACGTTTCATCTTCAGACAGCGCTCATCAAGGCAAACCCGATCAAGCGAAGTCAGACTGACTTGTCTTGTCTCGACTCGTCGCTCCAGTACCACTGGGTTTACGTGGTGCCCTCGTCCGTGCCCGAGGTTCGGATAGAAGCGACGAGATACGGGCTTTCCTCGTGCGGCATCCTCTCTCCGCTCATCTCTGTGAAAGTGAAGACAGTCGCGACAGGCGCGTTCAACGACTACGTTGACCCGTCGCAAGGCATCGAGGTCACGTTTCCCTTTGACCCTCAGCGATCTCCAGAGATCATGGGCAACTTGAACGACACCTACACCGGGGTCTCGACCGGCGCCTCTTGTGTTTACTTCGACACGCAGAAGCTGCGCTGGACCACTGCTGGCATTCAGCACGTCGAGACGTTTCTAGGAAACAAGTCTGTTACAACTGCTTACGTCAAGTGCCGCGTGACGCGCTTGGGAATCTATGCAGTGAGCGAGGTAACGTGCGATGGTGAGGAGTATCGGACCTGAGAGCTTGTCCAGGTGCAAGTAGATTGCGCTAACAAGATCCTCGGGGTGTCGGTCAAGGATGTCTGCAATGTGTGTGGAGGAGGCAACGTGTCGTGCTCAGGATGCGACAACATGCCCTACACGGGACGAGACAAGGGATGCAGGTGCCTCCGCTCTCTCCACCTCCTCTCCCTCTGTCGCTGCTGCTGACGCTTCTCCTTGCAGTGGTCATGGCACGTGCGACAACAAGCCCGTCGTCGCTGAGAGGACCTGTCTGTGCGACAAGCCTTACTTCGGCATCATGTGCGACAACTTCTGCAGCGACACGGTCAACTGCAGCGGCAACGGACGTTGCCAGGTAACGACCGAGGGGACTCGCTCGACGGCGCAGTGCATTTGCAACCCTGGTAGGTCTCGAAGCCTCTGGTTCCGCCCCTGACTCCTCGCGCACAGGGTTCGAGCTTCAGGCCAGCAGCGTTCCAGCTGTCATCGCAACCTGCGTGCCGCGAGTGACGAAGAAGACGGATTTCTTCGGCAAGGGAGGAATCGGGTGGTTCATCGTCATCGGCATCCCAGCGCTTCTGCTCGTGTCCTCCGTTGGATGCCTCTGCTATCGGTACGCACAGCTTGCCGATCCTCGTTCGCTGACCGACGGCTGCTGCAGGCACACGCGCAACGTGAAGCGAAGGATGTTGAAGGAGAAGGAGCAGAACCTGATGGAGATCCAGCAGACCAAGGCGATGCTCGCGTCCAACAACGACAAGCTCAACACCATCGAGGTGGAAGCAGACCTCTGCCAGGCCGTCGCCCTGCAGTACGCCGATGACATCCCGTCCGTCATGAGGATCCGTCCTGTCGCGTCCTCCAACCTGGTCGCCCGCCCTTTGTTGTGCTCTGCTCCTTGCTGACGTGGCTCGACAGAGGCTCAGGGGCATGGATCCCATGGAGGAGAACATGCTCGAGAACGAGTCCTCGGGAATGCTGGAGCCGGCGAGCATGGACAGGGCTGGAACGCTCTACCCTCTCATGAGTCAGCGCATCAAGGTGAAGGCTATTGACTGCTTGCTGGTACTGGCGCTGACATTGATTCATAGTCATATGAGTCGAGTGGACCGCGTTTTTGAACCGAAACTTCGTTGATGTAGCAGGAATTTGTGTAGTACTTGATACAAAAACAATCTCACACGTTCTTGATTCTTCTCACAAATGATAATCACAAATGAGAGCTTGATTCTTCTGTCCTCCCTGGCATTCCTTGGTCGCAGTCCGCATCCCCGAGTCGCGTTAGTAGTCTCTTCTGCAATCTCGCCCTCCCGCCCTTCCACACCTCAATACTTCTCCTTTCTTCCTCCTCCCGACGAGTCCTCTCAATTGACTTCGTCTCTTCTAAACTTCGTTGCGAACTCTTATGCTCCCCATCTCACCATTCCCTCCCTCCCTCCCTCCCTCCCTCCCTCCCTCCCTCCCTCCCTCCCTCCCTCCCTCCAACTCAAGTTAGCATCGGGAACATTGCTACTATCGGAGTAGCCGGTTTCAGGGGGTAGGGGTGGTAATTTGAAGGAAAAGGTGCTCTGAAGCATACTTGATGGGGGGTTGCCTTCTCTGAAATAGACCGGTGTTGATAGTTCCTGGTGTGGCAAGGGGGGTGGGGGTAAAGGAGTCGGTGAATGGCTGCCGAACGCGTAGAACACATGGAGAGGGAAGGGAGGAGGAGGGGGCGAAGAAAGGCGAAAGCCAGGCAGATCATGGCAAGACATGACAGGAAACGAGAACAAAGCTGGAAGATGAGACAGAGAAGTGGAATGGAGGGAAGGGAAGGCAAAGTCAGAGCTGGGCAGGCGAGGGCAGGGCAGGAAGGTGGGAGAAGTTTGAGGAGGGACAAGAGAAGTTAAGACCAGACAGGAGGCTCGAGAGAAAAGTAGACCGAGAATAGATCGGAAAGCCATGAGCGATCACCCAGGTAAGAGAGATGTCGAACGTACATGGCGAGCAGGGGATCGAGAACCAGGAAAGGCAAAGCAAGCACACAACAGAAATGATGCGCGATCAATTTGAAATCGGAGACATCGATGTCATGTCTGTACACTTAGAAACCGCGGAAAGTATCTGCAAGCTCGCAGTTTTCCGATTCAGAAAGTCTAGAAGCAGATCAGGTGTAGAGAACCCGCAAAGCAGCAGGGAGCTGAGAGGACGATACATGGCGTTGTTTCCCATGCACCATCACAGCATGAGTCTCAGCGGATTGATGTCATGTCACCTCAGATGCAAGGAGAAAAGACGAAGCTTCATTTTGCCTGTTGTCGAGGAGATCCGAAAGAGATCATTCAAGCTGTTAAGGAGGGGATTTCAATCAATGCTGTGGACAATGTGAGCCAATGCAGTGCTCGCTGCGGGTTTCTCACTTGTTGACAGAACATGTGCACACCTCTGCATGTAGCTGCCAGATACAATCACGTCGAAGTATGCCGTTTCCTCATGAGCCAAGGAGCAGACCCCGACATGCGAGATGCGGTACCTCCTCCCCCTCCATCCCGCCCTCATCCTGACCCTACGAGCAGGCCGGTAGGACGCCAGCACAAGTCACCAAGTCCCCGGAAACCAAAGCGTTCTTCGCCGAAGCAGCTGCGGTGACTGCTGCTTCTGCTGCTGCTCTGCTGCTGCTGCTGCTGCTGACAGCTTTGTTGCAGAATCCTTCAGTCTACATGCGAGTCCCTGCTAGCGACTCCACGCCTGTCATGAGCGCGCGAGACGCGCCATTTGTTGATGCAGCAGTGGAGGATCAGGCGAGCTCTGATCGCACTGACCGCATGGTGCTGACGTGACGGGTAGGGCCTGGAACTCTGACAGTGGACACACTCAACAAGCGAGTGGGATAACATCTTTGCTCGCCTTCGACGACTTTCGTTTGAACAAGCGTTGTTATTAACGTGAGGCGGTTTGAATAGTATGGTACAAAGCGGCTCTCCCTTACCGATTCGCATGAGGGAGGAGAATTTGCCTGTCGGGCACCTGGAGGGTTCGAGTGAACGTTCTTCTGAGCGAGTAAACTTACAAACCTTGGACTCGTTGCAAGCCTCCTCCAGCGCCTGAACCCCCAACGCTGACACAGCATTGCCCCGCAGGTCCAGCACCTGCAGGGTCACGTTGGCTCTCAGAGCTGCTGCCAGCGCCTGCAGTGACTGTCAGGGACACGTTCCGAGGTCAGGGAGGAAGACCTCAGCACCCTTGTGGCCGATGCTGTTGGCCGAGAGGTCAAGGTGGTGCAACATGCAGCTGCTCTTGATCTGCGCATGCATGACAAGAAGAAATGAAAGCAATAAGATCCTGACAGCTTCAGCCAAAGCGACAGCCCCCAAGTCCCCAAGATCATTGTGACGAAGATCAAGGCGGGAAAGTCTCTCATTCTTCCCGATTGCCTTCAAAGCATCGTTGACAAAGAACACGCATCAAGCTCGATTCCATACCTGCGCGATGGCCGGAGCGGCCTGTGCTGTGATGCCATTGGCACTGAGATCAATCCTGTTAATGGTCTTGTTCTCCGCCACAGCTTCCAGTATCAAGATGCATCCTTCATTTCCTGTCGTGCGCTCACAAATCAGACGTTTGGAGCAACCAGTCTGCCTCGCTCTACCAAGGTTGTTGTGCCTCAAATCCAGCCTTGCAAGACGAAGACTCTGATCCAAGATGAGGTTGCACAGCTGTTGAGCTCCAGGGACGCCCAAGTTATTCCCAGACAAGAAGAGTCTTTCAATCTGTGCCAAGGAAGGAATTAGCGCATGACTATGACAGTGAGAAATCGTCTTGAGATTCACGGAGAAAAATTCTTTCAATGCATCGATAGTGACATGCACGGACAAACCTTGGGGTGACATTTCACGTAGGCTGCGATCTCGACCATGTCTTCGGGCAGCAAACCCTTCAAGGATGCGAGCATGAGTTTCGAGGTGGTACATCAAATACTCAACTACCTTCCCAACGCGATTGATTTCTGTCGTGCCATCCAGCAACGATGCCAGGTAGTCCTGTGTGCATCGAACCACTGTTACATTGACTTTTGCATCGTTAGCGTGAGAGTCCCGTACAGTCGTTGGTAGGCGATGACGTTCAGAGCTTCCCAGGAGGATCTTGGCAACCTGTTGAGTTGTCTCATTCACGGTAGACGAGCATGCTTTGTTCTGACCTTTCCAGGGGTACCAGTTAAGGATCCTGATGTGTCAACAACAAAAAAACATCAGCTTTGTGCTCTTTGACAAGAAGCAAAGGCGATAAGAAACAATCTTACCTGACATGAACAAGTGCGCAGCCGGTGATCTGATGCTGGTATCTTTCTTCGAATTGGGAGAGCTTCCGTTGTCATTCGGTGACATGAAGCCATTGGAATTGTCGCGCTAAAAAAGTATTTCAGATCCTGTCACTCTGTAATATCGAAAAATCACATTTGCAATTCTGGTAGAGTTTTGCAAATTCTCGCTGCAAAGATCAACGGGAATGAGAGAAGCAAACAAATGAATCGTTCCGAAGTTGCTCAAGTCACCTGCGAAGTGAGGCAACCAGAGCCTCCAAGCTCTGCTTCTCCAGTCTCAGGTTCTGAGAAGTAGAGTCAACCCACAAAGCATTCTCAACTCATGGTTCAAGAAACCTCAAGCTCAGACTGTAGCTCGATCACGCGGGTTTGCAGCTTTTGCGATCGATCGTTGGCTTCGCTCTTCCCTTGTTGTGAAGATTCCAATTCTTTCTTCAGTTCAGAAACCTTACATGCATGAATCATGCCAAACGCACACGAGATGTATTTCACCTGCTTAGACAGACTCTCAACAGATCCGTTTCCATCACTAGAATTCTTCTGAAGCTGGGAAACAAGTAACGAACCCGACAACATCCTTAAACAACGATGCATACGTTGTGGATTATTTTTTCAAGTCGTTCCCTCTCCATTTCAGCTTCAGTTATCTATGAAGATACCGGTCACAAAAAGAAAGAGTATGAGATTAAAACTACTTGTTTCACAAGTCTGTCTTTTAAATCCTTCTCCGTTTTTTCAGCTGCAGCTATCTGATTGAAATATTTCACAATTTTGATATCTTAAAAGTTGGTTTAACCTTTGCTTCTTGAGCACTTTCTTTGGTTTTCAACATCACGATCTAAGTTACAATAAGTACGTAATATGAAAAAATCCATACGGTGCAAACCTGGTCTTCAAGGTCTTTGTTCGTATTCTCATCAGATCCAGCTCTCAGCTTCGTGATGGTTTCCTCGCTTTCTTTCAATTGTGACTTTAGAGACTGTTGCACAAAATGAGCCTCCTCAAGTGCACATTAGTTTGACATACGGTTTGAATTTCATCTGCTTGCATCTTTTCATCATCCATCTTTGCTTGCAAGTCTTCAATCTGCAGATGGTAGAATCAAACACATGAAAATACAGCTCTGGAGGCTAGCAGAAGACAACAATTAAGAGGCATCAGCATCAGTATCAAGTGACTTCACAAATCGTGCTATTTCCCAATAACTCTTATGATCCAAACGAAAGGGCACTTACCACTTGCTTCGCAATTTCAAGTTCTTCTTGTAAATATTTGGTTTGTTGGACTTCAACCTAGATCTCGTCATGAACAACGATCGGCTTCAGTAAGCTTTGTTTACATCCAGCTTTTGTGACAATACAAGGAAGTCTTCCTCAGCAGGGTTCGCATCCTGGAAAAGGCTTCTTAGATTCACCGTGTTCTCTGCCAATTTCACATACGTTGCCCTGAGAATGCTCCTGCGCTTTCCTTTCTGCATCTTGCCTGAGCTCCCTTTCCTTGTCTAGCTCCGCGCTGAAAAACCAAACAAGCATGAATACACCAACAAGAAAGTGAGAGGTCACCATACCGCACAGCCAACAATTGCTGCTTCTCCTCATCGGCCTAATACCATCTTCAGGACTTTGAGTCCTTCACATTCAGAAAACCTTCTTCTCCACGTCTTTGATACGATTTTTCTCCGTTTCCAGCTACATTCAATGTGAGATTCACAGGTCAGAAAATGGAGTAAGAAATCAGGACCTCCTTCTGCAATTTGTCAATTTCGCTCCTCAAAGCTTCACTATTTCCTGCACTTTCTTCCGCTCCTTGCAAGCTTCCCAGTTTCTCTTGCGCTTTGGCAAGCTCAGTTTTCAAAGCATCAAACTCCTATCCTTTGCATTCAGGATGAAAACCGAAGACATCTGAGTCTCTCACCGCCTTTAGATCGGCAAGCTTCTGCTTAGCTTCTGCAAGTTCTGAATCCTTAGATTTGAGGTTCGATTCTGCTGCCGTGAGCTTTGCCGTGGTCTCTTGTGACTCTTCCTTTTGCTTGTTCAGCTCGTTCAAAACTTGTTCCATCTTCTGATCAAGAGCTGGATCCGCCTGTGGATCAACATGTGCATGATGAGCTGACACAGCGATGTAGATCGACCGAGGTCTATCATGTCAAGTACCTGACTTTGAAGTGCTTCACATATTTTCAGAGCTTCGGTCAACTCATTCTGTAAATCGGCATTTTCCTTGGAAAAAGGTGTCATAGAGCATAGATGGAGTTACTCCGAGCAAAGTTCGGCTTTACCTGCTCTAGGACTGCAAGCCGAGATTTCAGCTCTTCCGAACCTTCCTTGGCCTGGCAATGCAGACATTTAGGATTAAATTAGCTCAAAGTCGGAATGATACAGCGCCATCTTCACTGCCTGTTCTGCTCTTCAGATTATCCTGAATCATGCTATCAACCCACCATGACCACTGAAAATGTAAGCTTACCATCTCCTCATTCAGAACAGTCAGATCCGCTTGCAGTTTTGTTGAGTTTCCCATCTATGAAAGAAACGGATAATAAACATGCGAAACGTTAAGGATCAAAGTTCATCAGATAGATCATCAAGTGATACACTATCAGGAGATCGACAAAATATAATTGGTTTGCAAACCTCAATTTCAAGAGCCATTTCCGCCGATTCACGCCCCATGTTTGCTTCATCTAATGCCTTGACGATTTGCTCAAGAAGATCCTCAAATTTCTCGCTGCCCCCTATCAGAAAGTTTAAGACAAAACAAGACCTTGTTCGATGACATGATTACCATTTTCTTGGCCAATCACTTCCACCAATCGTTTCTCCGCTGCTTTTATTCTCCCCTACATCGTATCAAAGAAGCATACGGCGTATAGATGTCTTCACCTGATATTGTGAGATATCGTCCGTGAGCTTAGCTACCATCTTTTGTGCATGCTGAAATCTCTTATTCTCCTATTGCAAGTTCAACAATGGGATGCTTATGTAGAAAAACGTACCTCCTCGCCTTCCGTCTTCTGAGGTCTCTCGCTCTCTGCAGGCTTCGGATTTTCTGCAGATTTTGCAGTCTATAAGCAGTCCAAATTTAGAATAAAGCACATAGCACGGGTAAACAATGTCACCTCCGCCTCCTTTCGTTTTTTCTCTGCCATTGCTTTCTCTTGTTCTTTCTGGTGAAACCAAATCAAATCCTTGCCACAATGGAAAGGAAAACAAAATCTACTTCTGTTTCTAGCTTCTTGGCTTTCTCTTCTTGCCTCTTGCGCTCCTCTGCGAGCTCTCGGGCTCTCAAAGTTTCCCTCCTTTCTTTCTCCTTCTGTTCATCAGCAGAGTGACAGATCAGTACTGGAAACCATCGAGCCAAAAGTAGACCGCGTCTCTCAGTGACTTTGTGATCTGATCAGTCCACGCTTTGCTTTCCGTCGGATGATCTGATTTGAGTTTGATTTGTTCCCCGTGATTGTTTTCCAGCGCAAATTTTCCTTTGTCCTCTAAGACAACCTGAAATGAATGCCATTTTAGTCGGAAGAAACATTCTGGGGCAACAACCCAGCATGAATCAGACAAGATATGTTTCGGGTGTAGAGATGAACTTTCAGCCATGGTATGTATGTGTGTTTTGAAGTCATGTCATCCACTCACCTTCCAATCGTTGAGGTCATACACCTCCTTGTTCGATAAGCTTACAGGACGCTTATCATTGTTCGCTGGGCAGAGGTAGAACTTGCCGTCCTTGATCCAGCAGTAGACCTTCTGCTTGTACGGGTCTTCGAAGCGACCATGGTCGAGCTTCTTCTTGCTAAGGCAGCCTTGCATCTCCGCTCCCTCCATCCCAGCCATTACGGGCGGCGGCGCTCAACCTTGTTTGGCAGGGAGGATCCGCAGGGGGTAGGTTGTGGATTAGAGGGGGTAGGGGTCAATGGCAAGGGCATGGGGTACTGATTCTGCCCCATGATTGATGGGTCAAGTAAGTGGGAATAGGGGGTCCGACGGCAGATCGCGCAGCAGATTAGTCCAAGGGTGGGGTTACTGGGGACAGTGGTAGTCGTGGAGGGGGTGAGGGGGTAGTTTTGTGCCCAAGAGGAAATAGAGGAAGAGAAATAGAACAAAGATTTGGAACGATACGCCAGATCTGGGACAGTTTCTTTTCAAAAATAAATATAAATAGTTTACTCAATCTCCTTCTCGCTGTTCTTAAAATAGTTTTACAGTACCAGGCCCGGTCGGAGTCTGTCCGGGCAGGTTCACACACCCGGGGCCCCGGGGTTCGAGAGCAGTCCTCCTCTTCGGAGGGGGTAGGGGTGAGTAAATATGAGGGAGTCTTGGGAAAATTGGGGTACTCTGTGAGTCCAATTGGGGGTATCTCGCTTTGATTGGGGGTGGGATGACCATGGGGTACTCGGCCTATGAACCACAATGGCGAGATTGGTGGCCGCACGTGAGGGTAGAGAGGGATAGATGTACCCGCTGTACCAGGACGCGAGCTCAGTCCTGGAGCAGGCAGGGAAGAGGAAGGGAACCTTGTCGAGACTTTCTCTCGCCCCTTCGATCAGAAACAAGAAGGCCACCCTGGCACTTGCAGCGGAGACGACAAGGTTGCTGTTGTTGGAATTGTTAAAGGATGCTGATTCTTTGCGTGCTCCTGTAGGCTCTCCAACCTGATAGATGAATGCATGAAGACAACTGGGCTTGCCAGCGAGGAGAATAGGTTCAAACCGTTCTTGCTCAAGGTTCTCGTGTACGAGATCCTGTTGGGCAAGAAGAAGATCCAAGGTGGGGGGGAAGCCAGTCGACTGGTCAAGGGCCATCGAGAAGGTCTTGTGAAGGCTCTTGGCCGTCAGCTTGAAAAGCGAGGAATTAAGAGTGTAGACGATCTCTCAAGAGAAAGTGCACATCGACCCTCTCATAACCTCAAGTACCTGCGAGTGAACGTTCTCAGGACAACCATGGCGGAAGTGGTGGAGGGTCTGTTGGCGGACTCGTGGGAGCAATTGTCTCATCAGGAATTCATGCAAACGCTTTCGATGAACAAGTCGAAGGTATTCTGTCTGGATCCCGACTTCGACGATCTTCTGATGCTGCGATCGACGTCTGACTTCCACAAGAGCCAGCTGGTTGGGGATCATTTCGTTCGGATCCAAGAGAAAGCCAGCTGCATGCCAGCGAGGGTGATGATGGAGGACAACGACATTGAGTTTGCTCTGGACGCCTGCGCGGCTCCAGGAAACAAGACTACTCACCTGAGCGCCTTGATGGGGAACCGGGGGAAGATTGTTGCGCTCGACATCAATCAAGATCGAGTGAAGCTCCTGCAAGAGACGGTGGAGAAGATGGGGGCCAGCAACATTACCGTGATGAAGAAAGACTTTCTGTCTGTCAGTGCCAAAGTCAAACCCTTCTCTCACGTACAGGTAGGAGGAGAACTGGGGTGGGGTACGATGTGGAATTGTGAAGTTGTAGTTGAACAGGGTATTCTGCTGGACCCGAGCTGCAGCGGATCGGGGATTGTGGGCAGAGAAGAGAGGATGGATGCGAAATCAAAGGTTGTCCTTTTTCTCACTGTGCATCTGTCGTTTAGTGCAATGTCCATCAACCTGTATTGATCAAGACCGCTAGGAGAAGGAAGAAGAGCGTCTCCAACGTCTCTGTGCGTTCCAGAAGAAGGCGCTTTTGCATGCTCTGAGCTTTCCAAATGTTCGAAGAGTCGTTTACAGCACGTGAGTCTTGTCCTCTAGACTTTTCGGAAAGAAATTTAATGCAAGAGCTCAGATGCTCCATCCACCAGCAGGAGAATGAAGACGTTGTTGAGTCTTGTCTGGAGGCAAGGAAAGCAGATTTCGAGCTGAAGAGAATTCTTCCCAATTGGTCTCGGAGAGGACTTCCCGTCTTTCCTGATGTATATCTCGAATACTGTTCAGATCAGTTTTTGACTTTTTCTTGCGTGTAGGCGGACAAGTGTGTACGGGTAACACCGGAAGAGCATTCCATGGGGTTTTTCGTCGCTTGCTTTGTGCGGAAGAATCCTTCGAGTGATGAGAGTGTACGGGTCCCTGGCCAAGGAGATCATTATGCCAGTACGAACAGATTACCGCCAAGTCTTTCCGTCAGATTGTCAATGAGCTTGCGTAGAAGGATGATGCACGCTTTGCTCCGTGTGTATGGCAGACGAGCTGTCGTCAAAGTCTTACGTCTCATGAAGTAACGGCTCTGCAAGCACAGGAACTTCATCAATCGCATCCCATCTCTTTTTCCATTGGTCGTTTTTCCTGACCCGGACGAATTCTTCGACGTGTACATATACATACAAGAGCCCAATCATTACCATTAGGTATTGATAAATGAATTCATTTCAAAATACTATCTTAGGATTGGAATGACCCCTCAGGGTTTGATCCGATCGTATGAAAAGCTGAGACTTATCTGTCTCTTCCCCTGTCCCTGTCCCTGTCCCTGTCCCTGTCCCTGTCCCTGTCTCGCTCCCTGTCCCTGTCTCGCTCCCTGTCCCTGTCCCTGTCCCTGTCCCTGTCCCTGTCCCTGTCCCTGTCCCTGTCCCTGTCCCTGTCCCTGTCCCTGTCCCTGTCCCTGTCCCTGTCCCTGTCTCTGTCACGATCAAAGTCTCTGCCCCTATCTCTTTCATCAAATCTTGAAGTTTCCATTCGCCTCCTCTGTTCGCTACTCTTTTCCCTGCAAATCCACATGAGAATTGCAGCAGAAATAAGTGCATGGCAAAACATACGAATGCGATGATCGAGGGTCGGTTTCACGATTGTCACTGGATGAAGAGTCTGAGTCAGACGATCCTTTACTTTTCGACTTCTTCTTCTCCTTCTTGTGCTATGCAATCAAATCAAAGTCAGAAAGCTTGAACCAGGCATACATTGAAGAACAGACAAACTGAACTGGTGTTGAAATACCTTCTTGCGGTCGGCTTTTAGCTTTTTCTTCAATTCTTTCAATCGCTTCTTCGCCTCTTTCTTCGCCGCTTTTCCCATCATGGCAGCACCCATATCTGATTCGTCGTCGGACAACAAAATCTCATTGTTGGCTGCATCCACAGACGCTCCTCCGTGCACACCATCGATTGCCCGCCTCAGACTCAACCTGTCGGTGACTACAGCTCCAGAACTTCCATCGAAAACCAGGAGAGGGTCTTCGATTTGTTGCCTGTATTTCTCTGCCTCGACCGTTTGTGCGCGCATTGGACATTCAGGGTCTCCAAGTTGGTGTCCCCATTGTTTGCATTTAATGCATCTGACATCGCGTACTTCAATGCCAAGCGGCTGAACATTGCCTGGCCTGCTGCCTGCAGTCTTGTCTGAATTCTTGACGGACTGCTCAGACTCCGTCTTTGCCTCAGCCGACTTCTTGCCATCTTTATCTTTCTGTTCAAGCCCTGGAGGAGCTTCGTACATGAAGCCAAGTGCTCCTCCTTTCTCCTTGACTTGATCATAATCTACAATCTTCCCGTTCACAAGTCCCTTAGCCTGCGCATGTCGTTCTCTCTCATTGCGCAGCTCTCTTTGTCGCTCCTCCTCTAGTCTTTTCCTCTCTTCCTGAGCAGCTTTTGCTTCTTGCACCTTTCGCTGTGCAAGAAAGGAGCCTGTCTCCTGAAACCATAAGATTGAGAACAAGCTCACAACAAAACATTTCGACTATGAAGGCAGGCACATACGATACAACGGTCCAAAACAGTCAGTGAAAGCGAGGAAAGGACTGGAGCAGAGTTCGAGGGAGAACGTTGCTTCCATGTAAACACAAGGCGAAGGGAAACGTGAAAAGAAAGTCAGGCACGCACCCATGACTGTCGAACCATCGTCGGTGTCAGGGAGGAAGAGCGAGCGGGAGTAGGAGGGGAGGACAACAGCAGCAATGGGTAGGCCTGGACTTCTACCTTCCAAATTCCGACCGAGGCGGATGTTGGTACCTACAGATTTTAAAACTATATATATTGGTATTATGACGGATTGTACATTTTAAATATGTGTATTACATAGTACAAATTATTACATATTAAAAAGTGAAACTTGGAAACTTGGTACTGAAAAGTACAAACGAAATGAAATATCTAAAAATATTTAACCTCAAACCCTGCAGTGTCCAGTGCTCTCCAACTACCCTACCCACCAATTGTCAAATACCCTACCGTTCAAATGTACTATAAACCACCGGTTCTGAGCAAGGAAAGCCTAGGGTGGAATCATGTGGAAAGGGTGCGGTGATTTGAGGTGGGGTGATCCTTGTGGGTTCAAGTATAATATGAAAGTATTAGTCAACTATCTTCGCGTATATAGACTAAAGCTATCGGTACGCAGCTCACAGGGTTTGCCTAGGTTTCTCGGCAGGGACAGGTCAGCGCCGAGGAAGATTTTCGATCTATGAATTAAAACTATTGATCGATTGTACAAGCCAGGTCCTAGTAAATTCCTACACGTGATGTCATATGATCATAATTATGCGATAAAATTTCAAAATCAAGAATCCAAGTTCATGGAGGGGGTCCTAAAAAAAGGCGGGAGGATCCGCGGCGCGTGAGAAAGCGCGGCGCCATGGCGGACGAAGACCTTCCCCAGTATGATTCTGACTCTGATAAGGTAGGAAGTTCGATGGTTTTTTGTTCATTATTTCTTGTTATTATTTCCTGCGTGTTGTTGTGTGCTTCTTCGGTGATCTGATTTGCTTGCTTCTGACTGCCAACCCATTGAGAAAGTTCCTTGAGAAATTCTATGCCATGTGGGGAAATGTGGTTTGACTCGGAGGAATGGCGTTAAATGTTTGAGTTACCTTTATCCCATCTGTGGAGCTTCATTCGCCCCCAACTGAACGTTTTATTATCGCAGGAGGAAGAAGCACCATCCGCTCGTACCCAGCAAACTGCGGGGCATATTTCCACGAGTGCTGCAAGCTTCCGTGATTTCCTTCTTAAGCCGGAACTTTTGAGAGCGATCAACGACTGTGCCTTCGAGCATCCATCTAAAGGTAGATATGCCATTTATCGTGGAAATCGACATGTCAGAGGGAGTTGGATTATGCCTGAGGTGGATTGGGACTTATGCTTTGGCATTATCCCCCCTCCTCACGGCGCAAGCTGTTCTACCCGAAGCATGTGGCATTGTGTGGATGGATGCTTTGACAGTTTGTGACATTGTCCTTGCAACGGTACATTCCTACAGTTCAAGAGGAGGCTATTCCGGACGGTCTAGCTGGACATGATATCGTTGCCCAAGCCAAAGCGGGGATGGGCAAGACCGCCGTGTTCGTCACCGTGATCCTTGAAAGGATTGCTGCGGATGAGCAATCCTTGCAAGCTTTGGTTGTGGTGCACACCAGGGAGCTTGCATACCAGGTTGCCAAGGAATTCGAGAGGTTCAAGGCCTATCTTGAGGGTATCACAGTCCAGTGCATTTACGGAGGTGTTCCTCTCCCTCAGCAGGAAGCAAGCCTCACAAAGGACAAGCCGCATATTGTGGTTGGATGTCCGGGACGACTCAAGGTCCTTGTCCAGAGAAAGGCCCTGGACTTGTCGAGACTGAAGATTTTTGTCATCGATGAGGTTGACAAGGTTCTTGAGAAAGCTGACATGCGTCAAGACGTTCAAGAGATCTTTTACACTACCCCCAAGAACAAGCAGACCATGTGCTTCTCGGCAACTCTTCCTCCCGAGATCAAAGGAACAGTCATGAAGTTCGTCCAAAAAGTAAGCATCCCCCACCCTCATCGAAATTGACCCAGTTCTCCAAATTGATGGAATATTTGTTTGAACTCGAGCTACCTCTGGTCGGTTCTTGGTGAAATCTCGATCGATGTGTCTTTTGGCTTCCTTAGCTGCATTCATTTCAAGAAGTTCTTCATTACTTTGTTTAGATTGGTAGGAGCGATGTGTTGTCTGGATGTGTGATTCTCCTCGAATGATGCTTAGAAGATTCTGAGACGGATTGGGTTGCAGCCGAAGGAAATCCTGATTGATATGGACAAACTCAGCTTGCACGGCCTGAGCCAATTCTACATCAAGCTGGAAGAGTCTCAGAAGACGCGCAAACTGACTGATCTCATGGACATTCTTGGTAAGCAAGATCAACATAACTTTCACTTGTACCGATTTCCTGTACAGAGTTCAACCAAGTTGTTATTTTCGTTCGTGACAAGCGAAGGTGTCACTCTCTGAACAAAATCCTCCAAGAATCCAAGTTTCCATCCATCGAATTGCACTCAGACATGGATGCCACTGAGCGGTAAATGTCTGGTTGTAGCGCTTTTGCTTTGTATGTGTCTCGATGATGGCCCGGTTTAAGAGGTTGAGTGTCCCACTGACGTGGTTGACGCTCCCTCCCGGGTGCCTGTTGGCCTCTGATTTGCTGATCGAAACCAACACAGTGGGTATTATAGATTGCTGATGAGATCCTATTTCTTCCTTCGTGTTTCTTTTTTCTAACATGTGGTGACGTTATCTTTCCAGTATTGCGACATACAACAAGTTCAAGAAGTTCGAGGCTCGCATCCTGGTCACAACAGACCTTGGTGCACGTGGCCTGGATATCGAGAGGGTGAACATCGTTTTCAACTATGACTTCCCCATCGAGGCAGACACCTACATGCATCGCGTTGGTCGTGCAGGCCGTTTTGGTAACAAGGGTATGGCGATCAGCTTCATCTCGACCACCGAAGATCCCTCTGGCAAGATCAACGATCAATCCATCTTCGAGAAGGTTCAAGCACGCTTCGCTGTGAAGGTGGAACCTCTGCCTGATGAGATCGATCTCTCGTCGTACATGCCTAAGCCAGGCGTGAAGGAGCAATTTGATGAGTAACTTTTCTCATCATACAACAATTTGTAGGCTGCACGTTATGCACAACTTTTAAAAATGATTCCGCATTGTATAAAATCAATAGTATCGAAGTTGTGTCAGTGGTTCATGTATTGGTCGTATTTCTCCCACACATCTTCCAGGGCCTGTCATGGTTCATCAGCCTGAGGTGAGAAGATGTAGAATTCATTGTAGAATTCATTGCCTTGTGAAGATCACTTGCCGACTGAGGATCTGCCTTCTGCTTGCAGGTCACAGCAAGTTGTAATGCTTGGTGCACAGACTGAAAACACTGTCAGGCGTGCTTTGCGAAATGTGGTACTTTACCACAACCAACTTGACGTAATTTTCATACTTGGGACTGCTCGTGTCCGCTGGTGCTTTGATACGCTGTGCCAGGACATACTACGCGCCCAAACGGGTTCAAAGGTCTTTCAAAAACACAACGTCATGGTTCAAAACCTGACAAAGAGTCTCGATGATTCGACTCGCATGCTCTTCCTTGGTATTGATCCATCGGACAGTTTGATTGCTATTAGAGATATGCAAAGTCAGCGCATCAATTCAGCTGAATGGACTAACGATGAACATGACACATGAAGCAGATCAAGTTTGCAATCGCAAGGACAAGATTTAGGGTTTAGGGTTTAGGATTATCGTTTGGAGGCTTATGCTCTCCCGACAGTTCTCACATTGATTGAGCATCCTTCAAAACAGACAAGTCCTGAACCAGCCCCTGCAAAGACTGCTCAACACCGGAGCACATGTCGACTACAAAACAGACCTGGGCTTTCTTAATCGTTCTGATGTCCTCAAACATCAATTTAAAGCGCTAAACAGCATGGTTCACGATGAAGACGGCAAGAGGACAGGTAATCTTACAGCCGCATCATCAAATATTCCACAGGGCACCTGTAGATGAGATGCTGTAAGAAGAATTACGACCGAAAAGATAAGATACTTGGCAATGAGCAAACGCCTCTCGTGGCCTGTTGGAAAGCAACAGATTGGCTCCCGCAAGCCCAAATGAAGCGGTAGCAACCGTTTTCAAAGATCTAAGCAACATGACAGTCAGGTTGCCGATGAAACGCAATCAAGCAATGCAAAGGGAGAAACATTCAGCATAATCACGCCCGGTCAATTGAGAAAATCATACTGTGGTGAACAATCCATTCCGCCCCTCCTTCCAATTGTTCCAGTTAAGATCAATCAGAGACAGAAGACGATTCAACATATCACAGATGGCAGCATTTCAACATTCAGTCAAGAGAGAAAGAATCAGATCTCTTGCGCTAGATAGCTCTCCTCCCCCTCGTCTACCTAGGAAGGAACCGATGCATGCCGAGGATGGGGAAGAGATATGGGACTGAGCGGGGAAGGGGATCACTGTGGGATCAATGATGCGTCGCCACTGGGCCACCCGCTGGCCGCCGGGCCTGGCACTCGGGCCCCGGGACTCAGTCCGAGGCCCAGCCCCCGGGCCGATCCGACTCAGTGGCATGTGAGGTGACCTTCGGAAGGTATCACAGTTCACTGACGGTAAAAGTTTGGGGGACAGCAGTCGGCGCAGTCGGCGGCCGGGCAGGGCTGGCACCCCGGCCCCGTAGCGGCCTGAGGTGAACCCTCCGCCGGAACGGCTGAGTCACCACAGCGGTGGCCGGGTTTAGTGGGGATGAGGCACAATGGTGTCGTAGGGCGTTCGAACAGCTCTAGGGAAATAGTACCTTTCTATGACCTGAGAGTATTACCAAATGGTAGGGACTATCTTGATTGGTCCGAGGAAAACTTGTAGCTATCCTACGAGGAGATGGTGCAACTGGTCCTAGGGAGGTCATAGGAAAATTGTATCGACCTCGACGCCGCCGCGATGCTCCGCGGAAACATGCTGAAGAAGCTCATGCCAGTGGGGGTGAAGATTGTCAGGCCCTTCCCTGTCAGGCATCTCCAAAGCATGAACAATCCTGGAAACTCTTTCCTTGACCCCAAAGAGGCTGAGAAGCCCGAGGATCGATACAGTGAAGCTGGCAAGCTCATGAATATGGACGTCAAAACGTCTATCGTGGAGCTCAGCAAAGCTTGTGAGTAGCTCTTTGTTTGTGGTGTGCTTGTGTGTGTTTTCAAAATCACTCCATGCTCGATCCTAGACCAAAATATGATGATGTGTTGCCGTCTCCTTAATCCATGCGATGGTACATAGAATCGCGAGTGATTCGTTTTTGCAGTCCACAGACATCGGGTCAGCATTCCCATTGGCACCGCGATACCCGACATCGCACAGGGAACATTTGTGGCACCCGATGCTACCATCGTTGGAGATGTCACTCTCGGGGACAACTCTGCAGTGTACTATGGATCAGTGATCAGAGGTGACGAAGGACCTGTGCTGATAGGGTTTCGGTGTCAAGTGGGTGAAAACAGCGTCATCACATCAGACAGTGATATGACCGATATTTCTATCGATACCGATGAGAGTGGAGGACGTCTGGAGGATCTCGAAAAGAGTGTTACGATCGGACACTACGTCACGATAGAACCAGGATGTTACCTGAGGTCTTGCACCATCCAGGACAGAGTCGTCATTGGTGCCAACTCTGTGATCTGCGAGGGAGCTTTGGTTGAAGCTGGTGCCCAAGTTGGCCCTGGCTCTATTGTCCCCCCAGGTCGTCGTATTCCAGCAAATGAGGTCTGGCAGGGCCGTCCTGCCCAGTATGTTCGAACGTTGACTGGCAGTGATTCTGAGGATCTTGATAAGAAGCTCAAGACGTTTGTGAAAGACACTGAACTTCACATTGATTGCAATTATCCCATTGGTGAGGAACACAACATGCTGCACAGGGATGCGATGGAGGCAATGCAAAAAGGAAACTAAATTAAACATGCTCAGGAGCCCCTCAGATAAAACCTGACTATCTGGCACAGCTCGACAATTCTCTAGAACGAGAACCTTGGTTTTCTTAGCAGATTATGACAGTCAAATCATGTGCGAACAAAGATTCTTGTTACGTTTGTAGTACAACTTCCATTCTTCTTGTATCCTCTTCTTGTTTGTATTCTCGGATACTCTCCATCAACCATTTTAAAGGAATGGCAGTGGGGGAAAAGGTGTTGGGGGACCTGTTTTCATTGCTGATCTTGCATTCTCCAGTGCATTCATTGTGTTTTTGCAAAATATAGTCATCGATCTTTACTTCAGTTCCTTCGAACCACAAAGTTTGGTGTGGGTGCCTGATTTCTGTTGGAATGGAAACCTGCAAACAAAATATCATGACCACATGAATGCATTCATAACACACCAGAAGTATACGACGTGTTCTTTAGAGCCACAAGAGGTGTAGTGATCAACTCTGTTGTCCTTTGTTCAATGCCGGGGCGATTTGAAACCACCAAAATCACCTTGCATCTTGTTCTTCAGCTGCTCCTCCTTGCCGTCCAACGTGACTCCTTCTTGCAAGAGCATGGCAAGAATAGACTCTGCCATGTGGGCCGATACCTGGAAATTCAAGTGGAATCACGCAGCCGTGGGAAACTCTCAAGATCAGACCTGGGGCACACTCTCGTAGGATGAAGGCTGTGAGATTGCGGTCTTACCCTTCGCAGCATTTTTTGGCTGGGCAGCCTTTGCCTGAGTTTGTTCTGGTTCTGAAGCTTTTTTCGCCGCTCCAAGTGCATATTCGATGATTATCTGCTGCTTTCCGGCGTTGCAGGAAAACTTTTTCAACGTCACACCTTACAAGCACAAGTGAGGTGACAAGAAATTTAAAAAAATGATGCAACGATCTCCTTTGCTTGGAATTGAGAAAGAATTTCTGAGACTTACCTCCAATGTCACTCGCTGTCGCGGATTCGAATGAGCTCAAGCTGGCTTTATCCGCGTCGCACAACTTGAGCTGGAATACAAAGGTGAGCGCGGGTTCTGGCACATGATACCGGAAGGTGGATGAAAAGTGTATTCACTTACAGAGTTAAGGTCTGTGTTCTTGGAACCTGTAAAGAACATCAACAGTAACACAACACAACAGATTTCAAAGGGAAAAAAGGTCTCAAGGATAAGAACCACATGACAGAAAGGGTTCCAGAAGTGTCGAAACACATCACAAGAAGTCATGGCATATTTGGTATTCTGATCATTCTGATACATCAACACATGAGCTAGGGAGGCTCAGCAGAGTATAACTCACAGATATTGTTTGCAGCATCCTCCACTTCCCCTTTTTTGTCCGCACAATCGTCTCCATCATACTGCACCGCCATCTTCGCTCCTCTCTTGTCATAGTGGATGCTCAGAACAGGGCCACTCTTGGGGACGATGTCTCCTAGAGCTGCCCGTATGATGTGAGCAGCGCCATGCTTCTTCCCATCCCTTGCGCTCTCGTTCCCGACAGCGCAGGCGCTCATGCTGATGACGCCAAATCCGGCCCTCATCCCCTTAAGCTCACTAGTCACTGCTAGTCACCTGGCTAGTCACACCAACCGGGGCCGGCCGGCCCGCCCGGGCCCGTTTTCGACGTTGCATAGCCCGTTGTAGCCGTTGCAGATCCTTTGTTTGTCGGAGGAAATGGTGGAGACGAGGTAAGGAGAGGAGAAGCGCGCTGAAGGAAGAGGAGAACAAAACGACAAGGGAGGATAACAGAAGTGCTAAAGGTTGTTACTTGGGGGGGTAGGGGGGAGGAGGTAGGGATAGTGTGACGGTTGGAAGGAGGCGACTTGGTGTGAAATAGTGCCACGAAGGGTAGCAGGGCTGCGACAAAAATAGAGAGGCGATTTCATCTGACTCGCTCTGGATTAGCTCAGATATAGCGGAAGGATCATGGAGGACAGGGAGCTACCGGATGGAGGTTTGGCTTGTCGGAGCATGCTCTACTCGGCTCTTGCTCCTGCCAGACTTGGACCTCCTGGTGTCGGGGGAGCAGGATGGGACTGTGCGAGTGCTCGATGAGCAGAAAAGGAAACCCATCAGGTACGCAGATGCAAAGTGTGCAAAGTTAGCAGTGAAGTTCATCTGGCAGCGTGATCAAAGCTCATGATGGGCCTGTAGAGGGCATTGCGACGGTGTACAGCAAAATTACTCCTGCCTCACCTATCACGTTCATCACCCTAGGAAAAGACGCCAGGGTGAAGCTGTGGAGAGTAGACAGGCAGTCAGAAGAAGGATGTCTTCTGTCTGCAGAGACCAACTTGATGGACTTCAGAGTATCTCTTCTACCCGATGTGAGTGGTCTGCGTGCGTGGCGCCAAACTGACTTGGTCGTCAGTGGTTGTCTTTCAGCATGAAGCGTATGGAAGTGGAAGACGAAGTGTTTTGCATCATGGGCAGGTCACAGCGGGGAAGTTTTGTGTGGATCCTGCGCATGAAAGGGGAGGAGAGTGTACCTTCCTCCAGTCCCGAGTTCCAGATCGTGTCGTTCTTCCCAGCCGACGAGATGAGTTTCATGAGCACGTGGAGAAAGCAGGCGATTCTCGCGGGTACAGGAGGCTCCCTCCGCATCCTCTCCGATGTCGGCACGAAGACCATCTCTGGACTGCTGGATGCAGATGAAGGCCATTCTGTGACATGCTTCCTGACCGTAGAGGATCGCGATGCGTTCATCCTTGGGAGGTCGGACGGAGCCATTGACGTGCGGAGGCAGTCCAGCGGTGAACGAGTCTTCCTGCTCCGAAGGCACTCGGGTCGAGTTGTTCACATGCTGTGTGTCAAGAACTTCCTGCTGAGCGCTGGAGAGGACGGGCCCATGCCAGCAGGAGGCAGAGAGTGCGTGAGGTTCGCGAACATCGCAAACGGGCGGCTCCTTGGCTCCTTCACTACCGCTCCCGTCAACTGCCTGACCCACCGGTCCAGCATGCTCCACTCACCTCCTGCTGAAGGCTGAAGCTTCCATCCCAGGCTGTCTCGATGTGACGAATCGCCCCTTCGCTTCAGCCACCTGGCGCTCACAGGGCACGCTGACGGGAAGGTGATGCTGTGGGATGTGCTTTCTCAGCAGAGCCTTCACATCCTCGAGGGCCATCGTGCTGCTGTCTGCGCCATCACGGCGAACAGACTGTGTGCTGTGAGGTACGAACGTGCGAGCAAGCGGTGCAGGAGGTGAGGATGAGCGTTCCTTTCGCTGCAGTGCCGGGGAGGATGCAACTTGTCGAGTCTGGCGCTTCGTGGATGTGCATGTGCTGAGAAAGGAGGAGGAGGAGGTCCAATCCAAGAGGAAGAAGGTCTCCTCCAGCTGTCTCGGAGCTCTCTCTGACCATGTCCTGTGGCATGCTGCAGGCGGAGGAGAGGGGCGAAGAAGGAAAGGAGCTGTACCGCAAGAAGAAGTCCAGCTGAGCTTGAGGAGGAACGAGCTGATAAACCTTGCAGGTTCTCTCGAGCTCTGTCTCTCTTCCAGGAGGCTGGTGAGCTGGACCCTGCCAGCGCTAAGCATCCTCTCAACGCTGCTGCGTGCTTGCTGGAAATGGGAAGGCCAGGAGACTGCCTGAAGCTGTGTGAAGAGATCCTTGCGATGCAGAGGGAGGAGGTGGGCGAGGGTCTCGTGGTGAGAGCGCTGGCTCGCAAGGGAACAGCGCACATGAGGTGAAGCAGTATGAATGCTCGAGAAGGAGCAGGGGGTTGAAGCTGCCGCGTGCAGGATGGGAGACAAGGACCTCGCCAAGGAAGCACTGTTGGAAGCTCTCTCCCTCGACCCGAATAATGTTGAGGTGAACTAGAGGAATAGGAGGAAGAAACAGAGAGGACGGTTTCAGGAGGAGGAGGAGGAGGAGGAGGAGGAGGAGGAGGAGGAGGAGGAGGAGGAGGAGAAAGGAGAGACAGTTTTCATTGTTTCACCTCCAGGTGAAGGAAAAGCTCGACAACTTGTTTGGAGTCGACGGCTCGAACGAAGCGATGTTGAAGGAGGAGCGAAAGTTGAGAGATACTGCTGCTGAGCAAGGAGCTGTAAATGCACCTCACCCATCAAACTTGAAGAAAGAGGAAGAGCGAAGCAGGTGAGTCTTGTCTTGAACTCACGAGTTCTGATCGCTGAACCACGAGGAGCAGCCGAGATGGTTGTAGGAAGGAGGAAGAGTGTGATGAGAAGGAAGAGTGTGAGGAGGAGCAGGAGCAGGAGCAGGAGCAGGAGCAGGAGCAGGAGAAAATTGTGGAGGTAAGCGGAATTTTGAGCATCTGGAAGTTGCTGATGCTGCCTACAGCCTGGCGAGTGGGATAAGAGGGCGAAGGAATGCTGCCGTGTAGGGGATGAGGTGAGGAGGAGGAGGATGGGTAGAGGGGTGTGAAGGGGTCTGTGGGCAGAGGAAGAGGAAGAGGTAGAAGGAGAAATCGTTAGGGAGAGGGGGGGGGAGGAAGGAAACTGAGACTGAAGCTGACAGAGAGGAGCATGGGATTGCTGGACGCGATCGCTGCGGCTGTTGTGGGACCATGAGGTGTACGAGCAGAGGGCTCAGCTCTCTTGGAAAGGTCCCTCCTTCCCCTCAACGCGCTAGGACGTTGACCTTGCGCCCTCGAAGGTGAGGGTGAGGCTGTGGAGGAGGAAGCGACGTGGAGGCAGAAGATGGCAGACGTGCAAAAGGTGCCTTCTGCTCTTCCTCTTGCTCCTCCTCTTGTACTTGCACTGATGTTGAGCTCCTCTCACTCCTGCTGGCCTCTTGGAACTTCTTGATTGACTTGCTCCAACTTCAGGATAGAGGAAATGAGATGTACAAGGCGAGGAGATATCGCGATGCGATAGGGTGAGAATGAGGAGAGCACCAGGAGCACAAGGAGGAGGAGGAGGAGGAGGAGGAGGAGGAGGAGGAGGAGGAGGAGGAGGAGGAGGAGGAGGAGGAGGAGGAAG